AAAAAATGTTACATTTCTCACACTAGGGGAAATTCAGGATCTTTTTAAATATTGCCTAATAAATTAAGAACTTAAAACTTGTATACTATTAAAATATGGATTATTAGCTATGATTTTATGTCATACTAATTGGTATTATGTAAACAAAAAGTAGTTTAATAAAATTTTGAATGTAAGTCACTAAAAACCTCATGACGTATAGTAAAAGATGCCTGTGGCGAGAAGGTTAATTAGAAAGTTTGATTTTTTGTGTACAAAAGACCAGTAATGTTTGATAAATTTTATGAAAATACAAAATTACAGTATGGAAACTCTTGTTTACTTTAGGATTACAAGGTTAGTTACACTGACCAAGTCTGTAAATGTTGAGCCAATGTCAACGAAAGCAAGTTTTAGATTATGTTTATACTTATCAGATGTACTTTCTAAATCAGATTCAGTATCTCTTTGAAATTCAGTTTCTGTTTTCACATTCATAACATTATAGTGTGAACTATCCTGATCCTCATTATCACTGTAACTGAACTTTGAAATAACATCATCTTGTAGCAGATCACCAGGATGTTCCATTTTCACTTGAACAGATATGTTCTAAAATCAAACAATGGTTGAAAGGGTTAACAGAAATAACAACTAGTGTTATCATTACATATAGACACAGTTCACTAACTTAAAACATGATCATATAACTAGTAAACTTAACATTTTAAAACTTAGTTATGTACGCAAACAGTTCTAAGTCTATTAAAATAAAAATTTTATTCCTGATTCTACATGCAAACAAAACATGTAGGAAAATTTATGGAAATGCAGTTTCATTTCTGTTAATCGTAGTTCCGTATTTTGCCTTAATCACAGGTCTAAAGTCAACACAAATGATGGGCATGGCTGTGACATTACTCGATCACATGACTTTGTTGCAGTGTTAGCAAACCTATTCTTACAATTACCAACATGGCTGAAAATCCATATCAAATTTTTTTATCAAGTCTTAAGGTTTGTAAGGCCATGTTTTTCTCATGCCCTTTTTTTTTCTTTTTACATGTTGACTATCCAACATGACATGCAGAGTAATTTTCATTTTAAGATTAAAAATACTTTAGTGCATCAGAAAATTTTAAAATTTCACATGCAAAATCTTTATAATGTCTGGATAGTTATCAAACATTTCTTAAGAAAAAAAACCTATATTTTATCTATTATTTTCAGTAACGAATCTCTGTACGGTTTGGTAAATTTGGCCAATCTTGTAACCATGTTAAAGAAATTAGGAAATAAATATAAATTATGCCTTTTTCATTCTAGAACGACTACAAATTATAAGAAGAAAATATAAATGTTTAGAGTAAATAGCTTACATCTCATAACATTATACATTTATACAGTGGTGGGATTCAGCTGGTTCGCACCGGTTCGTGCGAACCTGTTCTTAGAATTTAATGACCTCCACGAACCGGTTGTTAACAATCGTATGTATAGACCTAATAATAACGTTACAACTTATAAGTACGCGTGTTTACAACGCAACTTTACTAGCAGGCTAGGCAGACTAGGTGTACTAGATCTCTGATGAATCATTTGCCAGCTGGTAAGTGTTTTTTTTATACAGATTCTTATGATCTTATCTAAATTATTATTATTAGATCTAACTTGGTTATATCATCTACTACAGGCCAAGCGTCCTAGGCCTATGTGTGAGTGCAAATCTGTGCTGAATTATTAGCCAGCGGGTGAACGCTTTTTCTACAGATTCTTATCTAAATAATTACGTTAATCTATTATTATTATACCTAAGGTTAGATCATCTATATACATAGCTCTAGGCCCCTAGATCTATATAATTAATATACCTTATACAGCTATGAAAATTGAAATGTTATGCTAATAATTGGCAAGCACGAAATTGCATTAGAAAATATTTTTCCCCAATAATTTATAAAATTTGTTAGATGATAGATCTATCATCTATGCATTAGTTTAATACATTTTTAAATTTTTAAGAAATATAACTTTTTGGGTTTTCGCTCCAAATATAACAGGACCCTTTTCTCTAATAATTCATTTCTTTGTTTTTCACCTGTTACTATCCATTTTATTTATTTTTTTGTTTTTTTCTACTTTACTTTTTTTGAAATATATTTTTTATTACGTATGGAAGAAATTAATAAAGATTTGAATTTTGTTAAGGTGAAAGTTTATAAAACACTTTTTTAATTGAAAGTTTCTAAAGAATCTTTAACACTATCCGTGACGGCCTCATAACCATTTTGTGCTTGTTCTAGTTTTCATGCTATAACTTTTAAATTAGTAAGTGTATATTAATGAAATTTGGCAGATTATCAGGAAACATTACAATGCTTTTATACCCAAAATATAAATTTTTTTTATTGAGTCTTAAGGTTTGTTAAGCAATGTTTTCCCATGCCTTTTTTTTCTTTTTGCATGTCGCCTATCCAACATGCAAAGTAATTTTTATTTTAAGATTAAAAATACTTTTATGCTTCAGAAAATTTTCAAATATTATTTTCAATAATGTCCAGATAGTTATCAAACGTTTCTTAAGAAAAAAACTGTATTTTATCTGTTATTTTCACTAACGAATCTCTGTACGAGTTCAGTAGATTTGACCGATCTTGAAACCACCATCAAAATTAAGAAATAAATATAAATTATGCCTCTTTCAATCTAGAATGACAACAGATTATAACACGAAAACATAAATGTTTAGATTAAATAGCTTAAATCTCATAACATTTATATATATATTTAATATTTTTATTATATTTACCTTTCAGCCATGCCTAGCTAACAATACAGAAATTACAATGATGCAGCACACGTGCTCTCATGTTACCGTATCCAATAATATATATAACTGACCTTTAGTCTTTACAAAGTGACCTGTCTTGGCTGTGTTTTAGTAGACTAATGTTTTGTAAAATACAGTCACATTTCCATTATTATACATTATATATATGTATATAGATTATTGCTATTTAGAAAAAGCTCTTAAACTTATTTTTCTTAAAACAAAGAACAGTAAATAAAGATGTAAAGCAAACAATTATCTCTTCTAGTTATGAGCTTTATACTCGGTTGCTGCTTGGCATAGGTTGCTAAGCCTTTTAAAATTTTGCACGTGGAGGATATGAAATGAAATAATTTTTTTAGATTTTATATATATAGTTGAATAACTAAAAAATCATAAATCTTGGTTTGAAAGAACAAGATGGCATCCTAACACATGAATATGGTTGAGAAAGCCACTAGGGGGACATTCTGAGCTTTCACATGTCATATATTGAAGTAAGTGTATGTAAGGGACCATTTCCAAAAATGAAAAAAGGTGAGCAGGGCCACTGTGTTTGATTCAGTACATGAGTGATATCTCAGCAAATAGAAAAGCGATGAGGTTCTTATTTTATATTCTAGCTTGTCAATATTGGTAATTTGAGTTCCCAGTTCGTGTAAAACTATAGACTTAGTATTTTGACATCACAAACATCTAATTTGAACCAGTGCTGCATTCAACATACCACA